AGGTACATGTAAATTATCTGCAGTGTAGGGTAGGTAAAAAGATTGTCCAGGTGAACATTTTTTACTCAACTTTTCTGTTTTGTTCGAGTTGGGAAGCATGCAGTAAGCCAGTTATTGCATGATTTCTCGTCACTCGGGACTTATTACACCCTCGCTTCGCTCGGGTGTAATAAATCCCTTGTTACTCGAAAACCATGCAATAACCTTTACGTATAGCTCTCCACTTGATGAACTGTGTATAGTTCCTACTTCTGAAATGATTGGTAGCCTTCAGAACTTAGACTTTGAGCAGTTTTCATCAATCATGTAAGATTTGAGCAGTTTTCATCAATTATGTAAGAAGTTATCTTTTAATTGTTTGGCAATGATACAAAGCCAAAGTAGATGCCTATCAGACAGTCTGAGACATATAGTGATACAAATATTACAGGAAAGACAGGTAAATTGTCAGGGTCACTAATTCATGCAACAGTTTCATAAGAAAATGTCTTCTAGCTCATGGTCAGGGCCAGAGTAATTATACAATGTATATGCTGTGTATTTGTAGGGTGATGATGAATTTCCAATCCATAGGATTAAAAATCAGTTCTTTTTGCAAAATTTATGTTTAGACAAAAGTTCCTGTTATTTATAAGTTACACAGGGACATAGTTAATCCATCAACTCTGTTTATGGTGATCCTCCATAGATCTGTAATTCTGTGTTTCAGTTCTTTTATGGAAGACTGTAACACAAATATTTTAAACAGATTCATCATTTTTATCAGACTAAGTTGACTGAACCATGGTAATATTCTGTTTGAGTTGGACAAAGGAGGTCCATATTCTTGAGAAAAGGTGTCTGATGTTTGTAGTTTTCATCAAGGTTGAGCAACACAAATTTCAATCTGTTGTGCTTTTATATATATATATATGCAATTTTGCTATTCTGTAAGTATTGATCTGTTTTCTGACAGATTATTAAATATAAAAAATAGAAAACACTTTATTATACAACCCAATACATGTTAAATATGTTTCTTTTGTAAATATTTTTTTTATGATCAAATTTAGACATATTATATACACATCCAATATTTATATTATCTTAAACATCTACAATTTAGTGTGTTAAAATTATATGTAATTGTAGTTGTCGGCATCATCTTTATCTATATTTGGAGACAGCTTAAAATTTCTTAAATGTCAGTTGTCTGTGAAATGTACTAATATTTGCAGACAATCTGTATTTTTTTTTATGGTTACTCGAGCCTGTCTTATGAACCAGTTTCATAACATATAAAGTGCAATGTTAGATTGAGAATATGTTTTATTTGATTATCATATGTGAAGTCTGTGAGACCGTTATGAGACAGTCTCGCAACTTCGATATGATTATATAGTAGAACAGGAGATTTATGGTTATTCTGTCAATTTGATTGAATGTTCGTGAAACCTATGAATATGAGACAGTCTACGGACACAGATAGTGGAACAATGAAATACAATTCCTTCATTTGATTACTGTTCATGAAATCTAGGAAATCAAGACAGTCTGCAGACAAAGATATATAGCATAACATGAGATAGATACTTTTGCTTTATTTGATTAATGTTAGAGGATAGAGGATGTCAGTACCAGCAGGGGATTCCTCCATGAATGATTGTGTCATATACCTGAGCTGCTATGTGCCAGCCTATTGTCATCTTGATCCCAATGTCACACTAGTGGTAGGTTTATATTGTTCTGCCAGTACAGAAAAAATCAATTTGAGATCATAGTGTTTGATTTTTCTGTACACACTGTTTACTCTTCTGATGGCAATATTTGTCCGGGCGTAGTCTCAGAAATTGATTTGCCCTCATGACATTATGTAGTCTTTCTGTATTTTTTCATTATCTTCAATTATTGACATGCTTAGGATGGGAATACCTCTTTACTTAAGTCTTCTGGATTACAAACCTTTGTTTGTGCGATCTTCAAAGAATCATACACTTAAACGCACATCCTCTCAGACATGTAACATGTATTGCTAGGCTATATATCTCTGTTCTGTTCGATAGCTGCCCCACTAGGTTCTGGCCCACAGTTGGTTTTGTGTTGTGAACAAGAACCTGCACCATGTGTTTGATGCAATGGCATGTTGTAAACAAGGCTTCAGTGTTACATCTTTCTTACTATGTGTATTATACAGTGCTGTCTCGAGTGTCTGCATAGTCTGCACATACCTAGTACTCTATTGTGTTGCATTCTCAGGTAACTGGTGTCAGT